ACTGCTTTTGGTTTTAGGTATCATGGAGCCGTTCTCGTATTTTTAGAAAGATGGTTAACTGCCTTATTTTACCACACGTCTTGCAAGGGATTTTGTTGCGGTTCGTAACTGATGAGGGCATCTTAGATGTTTTGTGGGATAGGAGGCGGAAATAAAGAAGGGGAATTCAATAGGCTCGCTACCAGGATTTGAGATCTCGTTTCGAGTAAGAATTTTAGCTACTGGAATGCGGGGTTGAGTTGAGTCAATTCAGCAAATGACAAGGTTTCGCACGGTACCGGCAGTTGGCTCGTCCAAACTGAACTAAGCACTGAACTATCGGATGGACTATTTAGCGTGACAGACCAAATTTCCTGTAGTGTCATTGATCCAAAAATAAGTGTATTAAATTGAGTTGGCGTCGGTAATAAATCGTGTAGTTGCACCGAACACAATAAGCGCAACACTTCTGTCTTCCGTGAGTAAGTGTTCGATTTACATGTTGCGTTTATCTTCATGGTTAGGAATAAAACGAATTTGATAGCAAAAATTTATTCGTAGGGATTTGGCGAGTGGTCACTGATCTCAGAACTTATCATTACGTTAGAACAGCTCAGGTCGACTGACTTAGGGCGCCGTATCGCGACTCTTCTTAATAGGAAAGAGTAGTTCACCGCCCATCGGTTTTCTGCATTCTTGCGCCAGGTAATTACCGGCCGTTAGTGTATAATCGCTTGAAGAACCAGTAGCTAAGCGTGACCGCCGATTCTCCTTTTCATATGGTTGCAAAGACTATTAGTTATTACAACTTTCTTAAGGACACTTGTATACATTTTCAAAATACTCAACCCTTGACTGGCCCCAATTCACCGTCCCATGTGATTGCATCATTGGATACTACTGCTTTCTCTCCTACTACCTTGAGAATTAAAGGCTGTAGCGGAGCCCATCCAAACTTAATATCTCCCGAAATGAGCTACTTGGATTACCATTGACCCACACGCATTGCCGGTGTCATTCTTTTATTATGCACCCATTTTGTCGGTTCTCCTTCCTTAAGTTGGTAAAGAACGAGCGACACAACCGATAAAACGAGATTTTATGTGAAGGTTTTGGGTCTTTTCTAACCCAAACATTTTAATGTCTACTGCTTTTTGCTTACTGTGTCATTGAAATCCATAGACATCGCATTCGAAAAGTAATGAGCTAAAGTTACGCTGTCCACCTTCTATTAAAGACAAGTAGTTTGTAAGCCAGGTTTCCAGTGACGTGTATAACAGAGTTGCGGGAAAACCAAATATGCGACATGGTTCCTAAGATTTTTATACTCTCTCCGCCGAAAGTTTGTACTGGTGATATTGTCTAGTTAGGTAACGAAATGTTCGAAGCTAAAACACCCAGCTCAGAGCACAGCTGTGTCACAAGACACAGTGCTTTATGGCTTCGGGCTTTATAGCTCCTAGGCTATAGTTCAGAAAAGTCAAGGAAACATTTTCCTGGATAGCATCCACACGGCGACAGTGTGATGATTACTGAAACTACCACGCTTGGTGTCATCAGGGCGCATTCTGACTTAACGCCTAGGAGAAAACTATGGGTCATTGCTGATCTTCTCGTCGACTCGGAGAAAACAACCTGCATCATTATAGCATTGCGGCAAAATCCGTCACATCGACTAACTTGGCCTCCACTTAGGGATTTGCTATCATAGATCCGACCTGTTCGTATCACAGTAGGCCAAAGATGGTAAATTTCACTGTCTGGTTAGAATAAATACGAGGCTTCTGCCACATAGCTTTAATTCTCAAGGATTCAACGTAGCATCAAATTTTGAGACATGTTAAGTGCAGCCTAAGACCATAGGCGGATGAACAATGCAATTTTCAGAATCTACGATCCAAATTATTAACAAATATTGCGATATTTCTTACATATTCCATAGGGTTCAGCTATTATAACTCAGACCACTCACTTCCACTAAGCATCCATTGATTAGGCACGCAACTAGATTGCATGAACCTTTGGCTGCTGGTCACAATTTTTGTTCTGTACATTTATGTCCTGCTGAATTTGCGGAACAGCCATCATTAGTATGAATAGCCGTACTTCTTTTACTTTACTGCAGTTTCAGCGGTGATTCTGCAAGGACTGAACTAAAAATATGAACCAAAGTAGCTACAGATGGGTAGGGATTTCTTAACTTGCGCGTCTTTTGACGTCAGCCAACCAAATCCTTCCCTTATTTATTCCGTTAATAGCCTGCGCCGTTACCACAGCGGTACGGCCGCTGTCACTACTCTGAAAGTGACACAGTATTAAGTAACTACCGTGTCCCTGATTATTTCGAACTAATTGCCTTTTATTTTGCCTAGTGAACAGCGTGAACGCATGTACTAATCTAACAAACAAGCAACCTGCTGACTTAATCTATATAATGCATAACTTTTACTTGTTTACTGTTACACAAGTAAATGACAAACTGAATAGCCACGCTACTGTTTACAAGATTTTGGGAATGTATCCAAAAATTAGATCCCTATCATGAGCCTATTAGGTTTAAAGCTCGAAGTGGAATTAAGTAAAATTGCAGAATACTAGTACTTTTGCGAGACATCTTCACTTGAAGCAGAAATCATGTCGAACAGTACTTTTGACTGAACTCTGTGATTTTAGGTCTTATGAGTGGAACACAGCTAAACACTGAAATTTGAAACGCAGCTTTTTATAAGTAACATGATCCATTGCTCAGTTTGAATAAATAGTACAGCAGCATTTACTGCGAAGTTTCTCAAAGTGAGCAACCAGATTCCGAACTAAAGAATGTCTGTTGGTTCGTTTGGCTGCTCATTGGATTTAGCTGGTTGTATTTAGGTAGCAGTTTTGAGAGCTCTTTTGTTTTGACATGCTACTATGCAACTGGGGAAAAGGAGGCCCGCACTGTAATACGAGGATACTTTGTGTGAACCCCTCTGGGACGTTTGGAGTTTTAGAGAGGTTGCGTTAGAGGTTGCACTAATGGCGGAGGTAGGTGGAGCTGACCAAATTGTAGTATATACCTCCATTCTACCCGCATTGGGAGATATGAGAGCAACAGTGAATCTAGTCCATCACTTACCAACCACGTTGGACTGAAAAAGTATCATTTCCTGTCGGTGCTTAGCATTATACATCTTCAGAGATTTGGTCATTATTTCGACTCTACTTAACAAATCAGGAGCTGCTTATTGAACAAGGGACTTGGCGATAACCACTACTACTACTACTACTACTACTACTACTATTACTACTACTACTGCTACTACTACTACTACTACTAATATTACTACTACTACTACTACTGCTACTACTACTACTACTGCTACTGTTACTACTACTATTACTACTACTACTACTCTACTACTATTACTACTACTAATACTACTACTATTGCTACTACTACTACTACTACTATTACTACTACTACTAAACCTATGAAAATTCAGGGACAGTGTTACGCAGAGTGCAGCCTAAGTAGAGAGGAACGACCGAGTGCTGCGTCCGTAAGCAACAGCAACAAAGGGATCTTCACAACAAACGCAACTGAAGGGATCGGGATAACTCAAAGTTAATCTCTGTCCAACAGATGTGTGTAAGCCGTAGGTGAACCAGTTAGTCAATCCTAACAATTAAACTAGTATATTCACAACCGTTATTCAAACTTGGTTCATATTGTTAACGAAGCCATACTGCATTTCATTTGCTAGCTAATTGGAACGCCGATTAACATATTTACTGAATTGTGTTTAGTCAAGTAACTGCGCACAGCAGTTGATAATGAATGCAAAGCCTGGTTATCATAGGTTAAGCTTCGAAGCCATGAACATCTCAATGGAACTTTAACGATGCTTCATTGTGACAATCCATGTAGGTTACGATGGCGAAACTAGAGGGTGTTTAAAACACTGGTCCCATTGTAATATGTGGTATTTGAAGCGGTTGGTAGTTTGAGGGTAGAAGACGTATACAGTAAAATCTGTCGCTTATTAAATCTACGATTTACTCATAATACCAAACAGGATGTTATATGATGTCGTCAACATAATTACATGAACCGTTGATATGGGTGCCCTAGTTTGACGGTGTGCTCTAGTTCTTATTGATAAAGCTCTAACAGCTGTAAGTATTTGGAAATGTTTCAAGTTCGCGGGCTTTCTTATTCAATTCAGTGTGTACCTTGCATTCTACGATCTGATATAACTGCTTTTCAGCTGCAACAGCTCCTCTAAGGTCGGCATTCACAGTATGGACTAAATCTTCTAAGCGAAATTTTGTGAACATATAACTATCAGGTCCAGATATATCAGTTCTAAAGGTTGTCAGGCAGAGAATTACTTGCTTAGAAAACAATTCAGCACCTCATTTATTTATACTGCCTGAGGTAACAGATATCTCCTCTATAATTAGGGCGAATGATTCTGTGACTATAGTGGCCTTCTAAACACACTCTCCCCAGCCTCTCCTTCATAGCGTCGAGCACTTTTCAATTTTCGAGTGTAAAAGTCATAGGATACATAACGTTCCAACACACATCGTAAATTCATTATGGTAAAATATTAAGCCTGTTGAAAATTGGATTGCGAACACTGGCGCAGTTTATGCCAGTCCTGTTTCACAGATAATAAATTCACGACCAAGTTTTACCTGATTGTAACTAACATGTTTTGGTCATTATATCAACAGTCGACACGGACTGGTTGGCTTAGAACTGTTAATATGGTAGTTTCGATAAAAATTACGCTTATGTATTAATTTGCTAATCGCGCATGGATATCTGGAGGATCACTGCATTGATAGGCCTCCGGAACTCTCATAAGCACGGTGATACTAGAGCTTAAGCTTTGGCTTTTAAAGAACTCCTGGTACTTCATGTAATCATGGGTTGGAAAGTGTACACCTCAATCACCACAAGTTTGGGATAGGACTAGGAAGGGCTACAAATGTGCGTGGAACTTTTCTTACACAAAAGGCTGAGTGGAACGTACCTTTGGATACTTGGGAATCTTGGTGAAGCGTTTCCTCTTGTTTAGTTCTTAATGGAGGATGCATGAGGGGGCGTTCTGATACACTGTAGGCAGGTTGACAGATGGAATTGCACATCTGTGGTGATCTGTTGCGAAAGTCATCTGGCAAGGATACGTCATTTACCGACTGAGGGCAATACGATAGTCCACGAAAAGCCGGATGTTGATACTGGCAGATGCTCGAATGGGGTGCCTCGTAAAGGAAGCGGTTGATAGTGTCAAGCTGGCACTCATCGGTCGTTGCTGCAAAGGAACTGGGGCTTTCACAAGTTAGGGCAGTGTAGGATGCGTAGGTTGTCACCAGCTTGCGCATCCATTCGGGACTTAACACTGGAGGGCTCGATTCATCTAACACATTGCTTGATCTGAGCCAAAAGTGGTTTGAACGTAAGAGTTTATGAGAAGCAGTCATGCAAGATGACGGAGGGTGCACTATTTGCTCCATCCGTGACTCCGTTGTGTTCCCATGTTTTCCCAAGGTTTCTGGTTCATCACGCTTTGCTTTTACGAATTCTGGTGCTATTTGTGAGATCTGTTTTCCTCCAGAGGAAAGATGTTGCGAATCATCCAAGCCTAGCAGTCTTTGAATAGCGAAAGAACCTGCAAATGACCGTGCAGCATGCTCCGAACCACTAGTTTCGATCATGCTTAATGCTTAGCAGTTAGTTCTTTCAAACATATGTTGAAGTAGCTCAAAATTGCTAAGGCCAGATGTATTTCATCTCATCGCATCTTGCAGTAAACGAATTCTAGTACTGATTGGCTCCTTAACCTCCGCTGCGAGGGGAACAGAGATAGCGCGACCATGGGTGGGGAGGGAAGATTGGATGTGTGATTAGCCCACATTCCCGTGGGGTTGAAAAATGGACCAGGCCAATCTGACACTTTTCCCAAAGTGGACTAACGCGATTCTCCTTGCTTGCCACACAGCGCTTTGATTGGCCGACTGCGGCATGTCGCGAAGCGATCTGGTGTTTAGTAATCGCTCTCTGAGTGTGACTGGAACCCGGACCAAACAATTCTTACTACGAACATCGATTGGTGGAGAGGAAAACAGTAGACCGTTTCTAGTTTATGAATGAAAAAATATATCGTGACATCTATAATTTCCTTGAGATGTGTCGGACTAGAGAAGGCACAAAATATGAGCAAATTACGAAAAACCCATTGTATTTTCGTGATGGTTTCCAATTGTACGTAGAAATAAGTAGCTAGGACTGTCCGTTGTCCGTAGTCAATTAACTTTGGTCACAAATACTCTTGGACTGAAATGGCGGCCACAGTCTGACAATGAATAAGAGACGGGTCCTTCTGGATATGCCGTTGGTGCAACGCTATTGCTCTAGTTGGAGCTTCTCCTCCAGGCGTAGGTTGAATATTGCAGCAAAAATATGTTACTCTAACGACAAAGGGGCTTGTGGCTTTTGACATTCAAACTCACTCGTGTCGCGGTTATTTCTTTGGGATGCAATCCGTTTGTTATTAATTTCGCTGACTACGGTAAAAATAGTTTGATTGTGATTTGTAGTGCACATGGAACGAAGTATTAGTTGTAACTCGTGTGGGTAGATAACGAAAACAAGATGCTACCCACTACTTTCACCATCACAAATTGTAGGGGCAAACGGTAATTTGTTGCCACCACAGTGGGGTAGATGCTTTATATCTGTAAATTCATGAGCACGGAAACTATCCCATCTAGTGGCTGGTTCACAACTAAACGTTTGAAATTAAAATTTTGTTGCTTGTGAAAAGAAGATAGGCGGTGGGCTGAAAATCAACACCAAAACATAAGAAACTCAAAGCTAGATCAAGACAGCAGTCTTAATCGATTGGATTGCAAACCAACAGTGTCAAATATGGATTGATGTGCTACCCAATGCCAAGTGTTAATCTTGGAAATTAAATTTCATGTATTTATCTGCATTGAGGCGAATTTCTGCATTCAGGTTGGAACTGAACTTTTCACATGTGTCTTTGCACTTAGGCTAGCAGAAATGTTTACAAAAAGTAAGATGTAAAATTTGACTAAACTTCATTGAGCAAGGGTCTTCTTTACCCAGTGAATTCTGTCAAAGTTAACGAAATAGCGTTGTTCCCCTTGCAGGCTTTTCGCGCGCTCTGTTTTACTATGTGTTGCACTTATATACGCAAATAAATTTGGGTGGATGTGCGCGATGCACGGAAAAGAGAGGATGTGCGAAGTGCTTACCATAATTTCGGCTACAAATAAATCAGTGAAAGTTTCGGCAATCAACACACCCGGTGACCAAACAGCAGAGGTCGCGTATGAGAGCAAATTCAGAAACCACGGATCTGTGTGGTACGACACGGTAACGGTTTATAAGACAGCATTCGCCTAACCTAGTACTGATCCAATGTGGAAACTCCTTACTGTATATCAAAAGTAACAATTTTCGCTTCTTTTTTACAAAAATAATTGCAATTCGGCCAAATCTCGTTTATGCTGGAAAAGTTGTGAAAATTGCATGGCATTCAGACCCCCAACATTGATTCCACATTAACGCACTCTGTTTGTTAGGAAATACGTCTCAATCACAAGCAGCTTAATCTTGTTTTCTCAGCTGCCAAATGAGCACATATTTCATTGTCTTGGAAACACTTGGGACTGATAAGTTAGAACTGTCTTTTGATCACAGTTCGGTACGATATCGTTTGAATGCTGACTTAATCGCTTTCGTGCTAGAATACTATTCCGATCTCCAGGGTAAGTGCAATAGTCTACTAACTTTATCTGAATTGTGTGCTAAATATTAGTGGTAGTCAGTGATTACGATATATATATATATATATATATATATATATATATATATATATGCTGCACCCGTATCTGGATCTGTCTGTCACTGTGACCTCGATAGGACAGCCACAGGAGGCCTGCGTCTACAGGAAGACCATGGGTGGCTTGCGCTGCAGCAAACACAAAACCTTCCACACACCCCATATGCAGTGCAAACCCGAAGGAATAAGACCAAGAAGTATGTGGATTGGAGCCACGTTTTCTCAACGGAGCGGGCCCACACTCTTTCAATAAGAAGAACAGAAGCAATCCGGCCTAATTTGGAAATCATGCACACCAGACGTACACAAGGCGGTGGCTGGACCTTAGGCCGTTCCACACAGGATGGAACCACTCTTTGAGCCTAGCACCGTCACGAGGACGGTGCACCCCGTGCCCACCAGCAACGACCATCTGTCTCCTGGAGCCAGTATGGACGAGGTGGAGGGTATTAGACAGGTAGGTAGCTTGTCAACATTCACATCAGGCGCAGCCACATCGGGGAGCTCAAACAACGTCTACTTCTGAAATGCAATATTACTCATCACGCAGGCAAACCTACCACATACGCCGCTATATTCGCCTAGCTTAATAAATCGTAGGAGAGCGTACGCATCGTGCTTCTATTCCGCGGGAAATAGTGCCTTCTGCACTTGAGCAACCGCCCATTTGAGCAGTCCACGGAATTAGTATCGATCAAATTTACCCTGGATTCGCAAGACTTGAATTCAACGAGTGTCATAAACCCACCTTCATGTTCTGGCGATGTTATTTTCGGTTTGATCGCGTGCAGATTCCCTGCACTAAGTTGGCCGTACAAAAACGGTATGCGAATCCTCGTCGAATTCACTCGGTATACACATATGCATGGATTGGCGTCATTCGTGTCCATTGGCAGTTCGAATACAACATATGCACATGCGTTTATCCGAACTTAAGTAGGAACTGTCATAAAATGGATAGAGACACATTAGACCACATGAACAATGGCACTACATATGTGGATGAGTTTCGTTTGGAAGTCAGGCTAACAACTAATTTCGCAGGCATGAGAATAAGTACCCAATACGAATTGTTGAGATTTTCTTCAACATTTAGACGTGACAGCCTTAAACCTTGAGTATCCAAATTTGAAGTAACCCGATATAGGAATAGTGAAACAACTGTTAGGTAGAATGTTTAATAAACAAGTGATACAGTAAAATAGTGTGCACTTAGGTGTTGCCGTCTATATGTACAGCCTGGTTTGCGTAGCTGATGGGGGAGATCGCACAGCATGCGAATGCGATGGAGGGTCCACTTAGAGTCTCAGTGTCAGCCATCGGTCCGGTCATCTGCTGCCCTAGGTACGTGCAGTTCCTAAAAGGCCGATTGACTTACAACCTTCGGTATTGACAGTTGACATCAAATAAGTCACACTGCCCACTGTCAAACATGCGACTTTCCAAACAGTGTTTACATTGTTTTGCAAACGCCCAAGTACTCAACCGTTTTACATACCGTTGTGTACTCTGCTGTTGCCGTAAGCTAACTGGTAACAATCTGCATCGTACGTCTCCGCGTGCAGCACTTTGGTGCTCATAAAACGTTTGCCGCTAGGCGCCGATTCCTTTCCGATGTAATATCCTAAGACTCTGACGTATCATTCCCGTTGGGTTTAACCTTTCATTTAGTATATTCAAAAGACTGACCGGCGTCTCTGCTCTTCCGCTTTCCATCTGATTTTTAAGTGCGTTTTCATAAGCCTTGGTTAATTCAGTATGGCTGATGAACAACCGGAAATATAACTATGCTCACTCTTACCACTAACCTGCAGAGCGGAACATGAACTGTTGACATGGTGCTAGTAGTCGGTTAATTGTCGGGATTGTTCACTTTCCACAGAATTTGCAGGGCAATTTCTCGTTAAATGCATAGTCCAACGTGGTCACACGAGGGACAATCGTTGAGATTGGTGTTCCAAATATCAAACTTTACACTTTATGCGTACTGTAATCGGCCAAGCGCTGGTGACCTTTTGATACAATGCGTATCCATCTAACTGGTGACATTCTCAGTAATTTGCCACCCAGCATTTATCCATAGCAACCAGACAAAACGCTCAGAAACTCCGCGCGCACGTCAAATATGTATGAACTCATGGATGGACTGAACAATTATTCTTCGACGCACCGGCTCTCTAAGTCTGGTGCTGATTAGCATTGGGCAACTGTTCAAGCTAGAGTCATATAATCTACAAATCGATTTCAATGAGCAGAATGGCGATAGTATAAGCTGGTGCGTAATACCACGGAGCTTACATAGTGATGTGCACCGCGGCCGAATAATAATACGAAGAGGAAGGTGTCGTGGCTCACAGTCTAGGTAGTGTCATCACTTGAGAAGTTAGCAGGGATGGCATCGGTCATGATGAGTACAACACTGTAATGGGCAGCAGGTGAAGTTATCTCGAAATACAACCGAGTTAAGTAAGCCTAATAAAGCTAGATTAGTTGTGGCTAATCCATTCTAGGCAGGTGCAATAAAGATAGTACATTGCATCAGGTCAGTAGTTAATCATTCTGCAATGACTCTGTATCCAAGCGCGACTTAAATGCTGGGTATTGAATAAGAAGAATAAAAAAGGATGGAGTTAGAGCACGTAACGTTTCAAGTTAAGAGGGAAATGGTGCTATTCATGAGCACTGCTCCGAGGTAAAATAAGTAGAAGCACAATGGAAAAGTGATGACTAGTGGTTGGTCATATATATATATATATATATATATATATATATATATGGGTAATCAGGCTGCTCGCTTAGGGTTAGGATCGCGTCATTACGCAACGGAGACCTCCTCAACCCGTT